GCTGGTGGTATAAGAAAGTCATTACTGGTGGTATAGACAAGTTATTACTGGTGGTATAAGCAAGTCATTACTGGTGGTATAGACAAGTCATTACTGGTGGTATAAGCAAGTTATTACTGGTGGTATAGGCAAAGCATTACTGGTGGTATAGACAAGTCATTGCTGGTGGTATAAGTAAGTCATTACTGGTGGTATAGGCAAGTCATTGCTGGTGGTATAGGCAAGTTATTACTGGTGGTATAGGCAAGTCATTACTGGTGGTATAGACAAGTCATTACTGGTGGTATAGGCAAGTCATTACTGGTGGTATAGACAAGTCATTACTGGTGGTATAGACAAGTCATTACTGGTGGTATAGGCAAGTCATTACTGGTGGTATAGACAAGTCATTACTGGTGGTATAAGCAAGTCATTACTGGTGGTATAAGCAAGTCATTACTGGTGGTATAAGCAAGTCATTACTGGTGGTATAGACAAGTCATTACTGGTGGTATAAGCAAGTCATTACTGGTGGTATAGACAAGTCATTACTGGTGGTATAAGCAATGCATTACTGGTGGTATAAGCAAGTCATTACTGGTGGTATAAGCAAGACATTACTGGTGGTATAGACAAGTCATTACTGGTGGTATAGACAAGTCATTACTGGTGGTATAGGCAAGACATTGCTGGTTGTATAGGCAAGGTATTACTGGTTGTATAAGCAAGGCATTACTGGTTGTATAAGCAAGGCATTACTGGTGGTATAAGCAAGTCATTGCTGTTGGTATAGGCAAGAGTTTTGTGAGTTTTATATGGCATCAAAATAGCATAAAGTTCATAAGGTGACTTTCTTGAGCTATACTGGTGGAGGAAGACCTCAGGGGTATCATTTCAGGCATGAATATGCACCTACTAAAGTTCTGTAATAGCTTCCTTAAATAAAAGAATCCATAGTCTGTTGCGTTTGGAACCCTACAGCAGTGAGGGGTAAGTTGTTTGTTGTCAACAACATTTACCACTCTGCAACAGTGGCCCCATATTACTGGTGGTACAATCAAGCCATCACCGGCAAAGCAGTATTATATGTAAGATTTATATACATTTTAAACATGTTTTAATTGAACAAAATAAGCAACTCAATTTAATGACAATAAGCAATATTTATTTTAACATTTATATGTAAAAATATATGTATCTTATAATATGAAGAAAAATATGCAATGCCTTTCATATACAACACAAAAGACAAACATGAGCACAGCTCATTATATTTCAACATGACAAGTGTTTATTCAGAAATCATGTCCAAATTGGAAATTGTTTTGCTGAAACAATTTATCTTAACCAGCCAAATGTTTCAGTTGCCTCAATGTTAATCATGACCAAACTTATTTTGAGGTTTATTCTGAAACACTCTCCAATTATAATTCCTTTACTTTCTTTTTATTATTTGGACTAAACATAATAATAAAAGAATATTAATCTAACAATATATAAAATATGTTAAAGACACATGATTTTTTATGCTTGGCTTTGTGTTATAAAACTTACTTATAAAAAAAAGTATGTCGTGCCCTATGGCATGAAATATATTTGTGACCAATCTCTCAATCTTAATCATAAAGTATCCAATGCATAAGTGGTGGGGTTATTTTCATGTAAATTTGGAGACATGTCTCGTAAAAAATGCACTTTTATCTATGTCACAAACACACAATGTAAATATGTACAAACAATAAAGAAGTAACAAAAAATTGGCTTTTTTAACATAAATTTAGCCTTTAGAGAAATACGATACAAACAGCAAATAGAGCTTATAAAAAAACATGTGACTATATTTGGACTAACTGTATCAACACAGAAAGCACTTCAAAATAACAATGAAACAACAACAACATAACTCAGCAGACGACAAGCAAAAACAAGAAAAAGGTAAACTAAAACTATACAAGAAAATCAGCAGTGTAAGCAAGCTTAGATTATGCTTATAATAATATCAACCTCCCCAATCTACCTCAAAACTAGTCAACTGACAATCACCAACCTCAAAACTTAAATATGACCTCCAAATGAGCTATCTAAAACATCAATATGACCTCCATATCGGCTATCTCAACATTCCATATGACCTCAAAAATGACCTACCTCTAAACTCAAATATGACCTCTAAATGAGCTTTCTCAAACTTGAATGACCTCAAAATGACCTAACTCAAATATGACCTCTAAATGAGCCATTTTAATATGATCTTAAATGACCTATTTTAAAACTCAATATTACCTCCAAATATGGTGCTATATCAAAAACCAAAATGACCTACCTTAAAACTCAATATGATCTCAAAATTCAATATGACATCAAAATGACCTACGTCAAAACTCAATATGACCTTGGTATGGTATCTCAAAATATGACCTCAAAATGATACACCTTAAAATGACCTTCCTCAAAACACAGCATGACCTCAAAATAAGCTATTTCAAAAATGATTTTCCTGAAATCAAATGAAAACTCAAAAATCTATCTCAAAATTAATCTCAAAACGTCTATCTAAAAACTAATGATCTGCCATTCATTCTCCTTAAAATAAATGGCATCTCAAAAGCTATCTCAAAACCTATAACCCCTGAAATCTAATGAACTATACACACTTGACCCCATACATATATAATGACCTCTGAACTTATAAACTTAAAACTATTTATTTCACAACAAAAAACAGCAGGACTTTTGACAAAATAATTAAATCTCATAACTTGAGATATCATAATTAAATTAAAAAATTATAATAAACAAACTTAAAATAATTTAAGGTTAAATTATCAAATATTCTGGAACATGAAATTTTAATTATATGCAGCTGTAGGGTCAACCACCTCCATATTATATGTGTTTTTGAATTTGAAATTCATTTTGAATTGAAATGTTTAAAAAAGACCTAAATTATTAACAGCACTATCTCCTTATAATTGTTATTATATTACAATAAATATTTAACAATCAAAATGTACATAAGTAATGATACATATATAATAATGATAAACACAATCAAAATACAAAGCGGAGGAGTTTATCACATTTAACAGTTAACAGTTCCTTTAGACCTCTTATAAACCTTTAAAGAATGTTGTCTTTTTATAAACTAAAATAATTTTGAAACCCCCAATCCATCCTAAATTTGTATAATGGACTGTTCTTGTTCAGCTTTGACTATGGAACTGCCCATTTCAGTTTTGAGGGATTTTCTTATAAAAATACACATACTTTTATAGTACATGACCTGGGTCAAAGGTTATAAAGAAAAATTTCTACACTCATACTCAAATCTCCAGTATTTGATAAGTCAGAAACAAATTTAGGATGTACCCTGACCTATGAAAATCCTGAAACTGAAGTCAGAAAAGCATTTTACAACCTCAAGGCAGGTCTAACTTGATGGATCTATAAAATGGCCTAGCCCTATACTGTTAGCATTGATAGGTCAGTATTCAAAACATTTAAATGGCACTATTGAGAAAGGGGAGTTTTAAAAATGATCTGGTCCCAAATATGAACTTTGCCCTTTTCCATACATCACATTGTTTCTCTGCACCGTTTATCATAACGGGATCTTTAAAATATAAGTAAACAATAAAGGAATCTTTAAAGTATAAATACTTAAATACCAGTCTAATAATTATTCTTCTATATGATTTTTTCCACAATGAACTTACCTATAATCTTTAATAATCAATTATTCCATGATCAAATTGAATTAACTTACATGTATTTACAAAGTTATGAATTATTTCATTATCAAAATGAATTAACTTAAAATTTTACAAATTCATTTTTGCCATGATCATAATGATTTTTTTTTTCTTTTTCTTTCGTGTTACTCATTCCATAGTCAAAATAAACTATCAACTTATAATCTAACATACTAAATATTCTATAATTGCTTTTAACATTATAGACCACTTAGTATCATTAAGAATGTGGACATTGAAGTGTAACTTCTGTTTCGAATCAAATGGACATTCATAGCAAATTTTTAAACTACTAATTAATTCTATTCAAAATTTACATATTTATACCAGGTCTTTCGAACAAAATTTCTATTTGAAAGACCCTAATTTATATAAGGCACTTTTAAGCATCACATGTAGTAAAATGTCTCTTTAATAACTAATGGGAAATTACATAGGGGAACTACTTTTTGCTAAACAGGAACTATTTTTTCCAAAACAATATGTAAACAATAGCATTTTGGTTAAATTGACTAAGATAAATACATGTATTATGTATAGAATGCTTTAGGTACATGTACATACATAATTTTACACAACAGTTATAAATTATATACATGTTTACACATAAACACAAATAAAAATAGTGATATTTAGAAAACAAAATACACAAATAGAAGATACATGTATATAATATGTATTTACATAATCTATTAACATCACCACAATGCTGGTGATAGGTCAATATCTACACATTCTGGACAAATAGTACCGAGAACACTCAGTTATTCTTTTCTATGCTGATTGCACATGGTTTTAAGTCCCGAGTACCTAAACAGATCACGTTTCATGCCAAAATGAATTTTAATTGAAACTCTAATGCAAGGGAGCAAACTCTATAATGACTTTATATTAATACCTTTCTACAGTAGTCTCCCCTGAATCATCCCCAACCCCTACATCAACTATGCTATTAACATCACTTATATGATTTCAATAAACTAAACAAAAACAAATATATGACAAATTTATGCAATAAACTATTGAAAATAACAGTGTGATAAAAGGACAAATAAACTCCTTCATTTGACAGCACTTTGTACAAATATAAGTTTAATGATTTACAAATGAGGTGGGTCAGTGTGTCCTGCCATTTTTGAAAAAAAATTATATTGTTGTCATCACCATGAATAACAAATTCAAAACAAAACATAAAAAAAATCTAATGTACTAGCAATATAATTGTTTTTTTACCCATTTACCCATACATTCATCTATAATTATGCTTTCTTTTTAAATTTCCACCAGGGCAGCTTAGTAAATACATGTACATATACAATTCACTCTAGTTTTCAAAATGTAACACAAATACAATTTTTTTCAAGTGGATGCAAATTCTGAATCTTTCAAAAAATATTTCACAGAACTACTTTTTATCTGCTACAAAGCTGTTTTTTCAATCGTAGCAGACTTTCTAATGTTTTTCCCACTTGCGGCCAACTTTATAAAGAAATACACCACTTCACTTTGAACACTAGCGTCTTTGGCTGCTTGCGCCATCTGTACCATAGGGTCCGTATGTGTGTCCTTCATGGCCGGATGCATTAACGTTGGCCCGAATATTGTTGCTAAATTGCTCTGAGACATTTTGTTGACCGGACTCTTTTTTGCGATGCGGACAAGATGCTCTATCATGAAGACAATGGTGTAGTAATTTGCCTCAGGTAGACTATGTAATAGTTCTAACATACACTTTTCCTTTGCTTCCTCATTTTGTAATTCTGTAAAGATAAAAAAGTATTTCCTATTCAGTTAAATGTAAAAGATACAAACATGGTATAATGCTATATCAAGCGAATTTAAAAACAAATTGATTTGAGAGAATATCAAGCCAATATAAAACCACTAAATTTGAGACGATGTCAAGCCAACATTACAAACCAACCTGCCCCCACCACCAAAAACAATTATTACCAACCTCTTCAAATCCCTGCCTGTTTATCATATCATAACATTCAATGATGTTTTACTAGAATATATTGTCATTAACAAAATTAGGAAGTGAAAATAGGGCTCATGCATGGAATTTAAGCTTCCAAATAAAATAGTTTTTCATTTGACAAACCACTTCTTCAGTGATATAAAAGCATCCTTTTAGTGGCAACTGGATCTATCCATACAACCAGTGCAGACCAAGATCACCTTGCATAATTAATGTATAAATTCCCAGAGTGTGGGAGTTGGTTGGTAGTTTTCACACATTGAATTTACCAGAGCTCAGTTTGGCTACCACATTGTTCCTAGGCAAGCAGTCAAACAGTTTACCAGTACTAGTAACCTCCACTTTCTCAAGGAACTGAAAACTTCTGCACATGCCAGAGCAAAGGTACAGTGCAAATACACGTAGAAAGAATTTCATAATCAATCACAACAAAAGTGAGCTGTACTGTCTGGGAATCGAACAACAGTTGCCCGATCCACATTTCAACCCTCTACCTACTGTCAGCTCATCGGACAGCTTTTGTATAAATTCCATAAAAATCATTCATCAATAAATCATAATTGATGATGCTTCCACTTACGAATTGTTTGGATAAAAGACTGGTAATGGTCATCGGTAAATAACGGTTCTGGTAGCTCCCTGAAATACAGCTTGAGAACCCCAGTTATTGCATGGATGTCTGCTTCTTCTGCTTGAACATTAGCTGCTACATTATCTAAATATAAACAAAATACCATATATAATTATATATATATATATATCTTCTATAGATATCAATATATCATCTTTAAATAAACACTTTCTTCTGTAATAACTTAACTTAAATATTATTGACATTAAATTGCCTCATATTATGATACTTAAGGAATATAACATTAATGTGCTATTGTAATGGGTTATGCCAGTTCTAACTTGTTTATTCAAAACAAGTTAGTACTTACTACTATACACAGTTTGAAGAGATCCGGTGACTGTACATAAACTGTCATCAATAAAACTGTCACAGAAAAATGTGCCCCACCTTAAGTTCAAATTTACAAACACAGAGGACCATAGATGGTACCTGACACTCAACTAAGCTAAGCATACAACCTCAACTAAAATTGAGTTTCATGCCATGCTAATCAATGGCACATTGGATATACCATGGAAACTCTTATTAATAATTCAAACTCCTCTCAGTTTTGAAAAAAGTCTGATTGCGGAAAATTGAAGATTATAGAGCTTTTTTTTTTAAATATCCAGCAAAAAATGTTTTCAGAATTTTGTCAGTAGCCAGTATGCAGTCATGAAGTTCAGAGACATAATGTTGTTTTTTTCTGATAACAAATCCTAATGTCAAGATACAGAAAACTTACTTTTATCAAAAAGTTTCTTGAAGTGTTGTACTTCTGACGTTACTCCAGACACTCTGTATATACCTACTTCATCCATTCCTACAATATAATATAATTATGTCAAACCATGATAAATGTTCATTATTCCCCTTCATGACATATGTTCATTATTCCCCTTCATGACATATGTTCATTATTCCCCTTCATGACATATGTTCATTATTCCCCTTCATGACATATGTTCATTATTCCCCTTCATCACATATGTTCATTATTCCCCTTCATCACATATGTTCATTATTCCCCTTCATCACATATGTTCATTATTCCCCTTCATCACATATGTTCATTATTCCCCTTCATGACATATGTTCATTATTCCCCTTCATGACATATGTTCATTATTCCCCTTCATCACATATGTTCATTATTCCCCTTCATCACATATGTTCATTATTCCCCTTCATCACATATGTTCATTATTCCCCTTCATCACATATGTTCATTATTCCTCTTATTGACATATGTTCATTATTCCCCTTCATCACATATGTTCATTATTCCCCTTCATCACATATGTTCATTATTCCCCTTTATTCTATATCCAATACATCTAACCATTCTTAAATAATTTTGGTTATTTTCCTTTACTGTATATTTTTTTATTGATTTTAGTTATTTCCCTTTATTCTATATAAAAATGTTGGGATTCTTAAATAATTTGGTTATTTCTCTTTATTCTATACAAAAATATTGAATTCTTGAATAATTTGGTTATTTCCCTTTTTTTCTATATATACATGTTAAGATTCTTGAATAATTTTGGTTATTTCCCTTTATTCCTCATTAAATTACAAGTAAGACATTAGACAAAATCATTTTGCTTTTTTACATACAATAAAATATAAAATCTGTATAATCTGTTTAAAATCTTAAATTACAAGATGTCAGATACATAAAAAATTAATTTGGTGGGCATTACAGAATAATAATTGTGTCAAAATTTACAAATATCTGCATAATACAGTAACTGTAATTATACTAGTATATCAAGACACCTGTGTATGCGCTTACTATACAGATATGACAATTATAAATGCAATAACTATAACACACAACTCACCTCTGGCTTCTACCTGTTGTACACATGTTGTCACTATGGAAGGTACTGTCTTGTTTTCTCGTCTAAAAAAAGAATACAAAAAACAATTCTTTCAAAAAATCTGTACACCTTTATTTATAGAATCTTTTTTTTTTTAAAGTAAAGAAAGCAAAGAAAAATGTTACTAATTTTCCAAATCTATGGCTGGTATGCAACAGGGCATTAAATAAACATTTACTAGAGCTCCAAGCTGATTTTGTTTCTGAACTTCCATACGCAGTGAGAACCTGCAACTATCCAAATTCTGAAATGTGTTGTTTTTGTGTTTTTTTTACCAAACACTGTTGCCAGTACAGAAGGTCCATTGAATTATCTGGATAAAATGTTATTGATGAAAAATTTGTCGTTTGTCGATAAAAAAATTGCTTCTATGAGAACATTATTATGATTAGTTAAATTAAATGTATGCATTTACCTTAGAGCATTTTCAATTCTCACACCAAATATCCCTGTTCTTAACTTAGACTGTGTTCTCTTCAGAGTTTTAGACGCTGGCGTGTGACGTATAGATATAGTAATAGAAATCTGAAATAAAAATATATGTTCAGAACTTGTTTTGCAACTAAAATATTGATCTTTCAACAATGTTAAACTTTTAACATTCAAGTGTAAAAAGCTATATTTGTGTTGTTTTTGGATTGTAAAATTATTGTTTATGTTGTGATTTAAATGATTAGAAACACATAAAACGACAAGAAATATGTCAGTATATTTAATGAAACTGAGTGAGGCATACATGAAATCATTGTCAAGCCTACTAAAAATTGCTGGGGAATATTTTGTTTCTATGAAACAAATCTTTCAAGAAATGACAAAAAGGGTATGAAAACAACATAATTTCACAGTTTTTAAATTTTTCATAAAATATTTCATCAGATATAGTTTTATACATGTTATACACAGCAGACAACAGAAAAATATCACATTATGCAGGAATTTATGTACAGGATTATGATGTGCTAATTTACAAGAGCCCGGTTTGAGCCGGGTGATGCTCCCCGAATAGGTTTTGGACACAGGAAAGTACACCTCTTGTAGTTTCAGAGTTATGTCCCTGGAAAAAGTTCAAAGTGCAATAATTCCAAAATAAGGAAAGGCAGAGTTACTGTTCTTTGCACTGCACTTCTAATCACTGTTACCTATCAACTTACAAAGTTTCTTGTTGATATCTCTGATATGGTTTCCGAGTTATGTTCCGGACAACTTCAAAAAGTAAAAATAAACAAATGGCAATAACTCCAAAATTAGGCAAGGCAGAGTTATGATTCTCGTGCACTGCACATCTACTCATTGAGATACATCTACCTACAAAGTTTCATGTTAATATCTCTTATAGTTTTACAGCTATGTCCAGTACAAGATTTTTCTAAAAGGGGAGATAATTCAAAAATGAGGCTTAACAGAGTTATGTTTTTTTGCACTCGATTCTACTCAATGAGATCTATCTACCTACAATGTTTCATCTTGATATCTCTTATTATTTTAGAGTTATGTTCCGGACAAAGTTCAGTGTTAAAATTAACAAAGGGCAATAACTCCAAAATTAGGACAAAAAGAGTTACTGTTCTTATGCACTGCACATCTACCCATTGAGATCTATTTACCTACAAAGTTTCATGTTGATATCTCTTATAGTTTTAGAGTTATGCCCCGGACAAGATTTTTCTATAAGGGGAGATAATTCAAAAATGAGGCTTAACAGAGTTATGGTTCTTTTGCACTGCACCTCTACTCAATGAGATCTATCTCCCTACAATGTTTCATCTTGATATCTCTTATAGTTTTAGAGTTATGTTCCGGACAAAGTTCAAAGTGTTGAAATTAACAAAGGGCAATAACTCCAAAATTAGGACAAAAAGAGTTATTGTTCTTATGCACTGCACATCTACCCATTGAGATCTATTCACCTACAAAGTTTCATGTTGATATCTCTTATAGTTTTAGAGTTATGCCCCGGACAAGATTTTTCTATAAGGGGAGATAATTCAAAAACCAAGCAAAATAGAGTTATGGTTCTTTGACACTGCACTCCCCCTCAATGCCCTCTACCACTGTATGAAGTTTAAACAAATTATCTCCAAGGGTTTTCAAGTTATGCTCCGGACAAGAAAACGGACGGACAGACGGACGGACGGACAGAAGGACAGATGGACAAGGTGCCGACTATATGCTCCCCCGAAATTTTTCGGGGAGCATAATAATAAATAAAAATTAAAGCCCTAGGCAGCAAGTCCAAGGTCTTCAGCAGATGTAATTGCTTGAAAAAGGTACATAAATCAATCAATGAGTATAAACAATGTAACATAACCTACCTCATTCATAGATATTGTCTTCTCATTGAACTTTGAATTCAGCCATGACAGACTTAACTGTAAAAATAAATCAATTAATCTTATATAACATATACATAGTACTACAATGATATAAAGTTAAAGCCGCATTATGCCCCAGAAATGAATTATAGTTTTCTTCCAGTTAAAAGGGCAAAGGTGAATTTTATAAAGTTGTAATAAATTAATAAAAGATTTAGAACATTTAATATGCTTATCACCTGATGACAACAGTATTTACTGTATAATGATTTGTGATAAAGGTAGCAAAATGTAAACAAAGTAGTATTTTGACTTCCATATAAAATATGAAATCATTATAACTGCACTAACTGCCAAATCCAAAAAGGCAAAAGATGGCTCAGCTATATGGCCAAAAGGTAACAGGACATCAAAAATAAACGTTTTTGAAAAATAAAAATATCATTGTCTTTGAGGCTTAATGGGCCTTTATTAATAGATTTTTTTTCTAGTTCAAAAGGCATATCTCAAACTTAAGTCAACCGATCTTGAATGATGTAAACCTAATAATTAAAGCAATTTTTAAGAAGAATACTGCTACCACTCACTTATGCATTCATGTATCATCAAAAAAATATTTTGACAAATAATAAATTAGTTTAAACACAGATAAGACATTTCTGAATCTGTGGAAATAGTTTAAATGGACTAAATAATATCTTTATGTCTTATAAGTAATAGATATACCATTGATGCGTTGATGATTTCTGGGTTTGCGTAAATTATACCATAATCACGTGACCTTTCTTATGCCTTAACCTCACGAGACAATGGTATAATTTTCAGTTTTGAAGATCGAAGGAGTTAAGTGTTTCTGGGCGGAGCTATAGGTTAAAACAGATACACCATTGGTGCATTGACGATTTCGTCTCGTGAGGTTAAGGCATAAGAAAGGTCACGTGATTATGGTATAATTTACGCAAACCCAGAAATCGTCAACGCACCAATGGTGTATCTGTTTTAACCTATAGCTCCGCCGAGAAACACTTAACTCCTTTGATCTTCAAAACTGAAAATTATACCATAGTCTGGGTATGGTATAATTTACGGTTATTGGAAATTATACTTGGAAGAAATTTACATAAGAAGCGCTGAAGAGCTATAGGTTAACATAAGTCATACTTTTTTATGTCTGAAGTAAATATTAATATGAAAATTAATATTTTCATGCCTTACAAAACATTGAAACTTTTATGTTTAAACGGTAAGTTTTTTTGTTTTTCAACAGATATGTTCAGCATTTGATAAATTAATATCTTATTTTAAAAAAATTGGCAGAGACTTTTGATGACTGCTGCACCATTTTGTTCAACTTACCTCAAGAGCACATTTTCCAATAATGACATCAGCCTCGGTACCCGGCGTTTTCTTGTAACACAATATCCTCAAAGTTTGGGAACCATCCAGGTCAAGTTCAAAGTCCTGGTTCCATGATGCATCAGTAGTGAATTGGCTGACACGTGTCTGAGCTTTCTTGTAGAAGTGACCGTACGAGTCCATTTCCATGCAACAATAAACTTCTGCTGAATATAGTTAAAATGATATTGAAATAAATAAGGTCATTGACATATTTCTGGATTCTTCAATCATTCATCTATTTAAACTATTCACAAAGAATATGATTCAAAGCTCCAAGTTGATACAAAAAAAAAATTATTGAATTGATATCCCCTGCCAAATAACAAAGTCATTTTTGAAGATTTTTAATATTATGTACATAGTACCTCACACCATTTTTATGATACAAAACCAACAATAGGTCAGTGTCAAGCAAAAGGACACTGTTTTCAAATTCAATGAACCACTATTTAAATTAGTATCCTAAAATGTTAAACATTAATTACAGTTACATAGTTATAGTTCTTGATGTGTGATAGGCAGACGTCAGACAGACAGACATATCCAAGAAAGGATGAACATCCACACAGACAATGCCAAATCTATTTACCTCAGCCATTAGCTGGTGATATAAACCATTATGAATTCTTTACAAAGATTTTTGACAGGTTATATGGCCATAATAAATGGCTGTTTGCAATATGACTCTTGCCCAGGAGCTTGGTTATATATACATATGGCCATAATAAATGGCTGTTTGCAATATGACCCTAGCCGAGGAGCTTGGTTATAATTTTACACAAACAAGTTTATATAGGGTAATATAACCTGTCAAAAATCTCTACAATACTCATGTACATTATACCATCGCAAACTCGGAAAAAAACTATGAAACACAAATTACTCCTTACCACAGTGATTGTCCAGGCCCTGCATTTTGTGAATAGTAACATTCAAACTTCCATTTAACATTTCTTCATCTGAAGATAGAATGTTCAAAAAATACATTATTACAACTATGTTATCACATACTTCTTTATTATTAGGCAGAAAAGAACAACTGGTGTTCACACTAAATTTTAAAGACTTTTTTTAGAAGAGTGATCATTCAATTTCAATGTCTTAACAGAAATGTTAGAACTTGTCTGAAATTAAAAAAAAAAATATTCACACCTTAAATATCATTAATGCACTTACATGATTAATTAAAGAACTTATCTTTGACAGTGAATTAAAATATGTGTGCTCTACATATGTGTGTTCTACATATGTAAACAAAAAGATTTTACGGAGAAGATAAATGCCAAAAACATTCAAAAAGAGAAGTGAAATTTTAAATTCATGAGAAGAAATGAGCCGCGTCATGACAAAACCAACATAAGGGGTTTGCGACCAGCATTGATCCAGAAAGGCCTGGGCATGTGCGCAGTCTGATCCAGATCCATGCTGTTTGCTTACAAACCCTATTACAAGAAGAGAAACGGATGTGCAGGCTAATTCTTGATCCATGCTGGTCGCAAACCCATTATGTTGGTTTTGTCATGATGCAGCTCAAATGTACCTGCATTATTCACATGACTAACAGAAAATTTACCTTTTTTAAGAAGAGCTGTACCTATACCATTAACTTGCGTGTGAAGTTTTGTTGTACTTATCATTGCATCTATATCATGATTACTTAACTGGGCTGGTACCATTCCTGTATATAAAATATAGTCATATATTCATTTGCCACATCAACCATTAACATTATTATCCAATAAAATAATCCTAAATTAAAATCCCATAAATAAAAAGTCTCTCAACAAACAAAGAACCTCATTAATATATTGAAAAATGACCAAAATGTAAAATTTGCAAAGTAACTGCAAGCCTCTCTATAGGGTGGAAAAACACCCTTGACATGATGGATGGAAAAACGTGACAACACATAGAAAATGTCTTTATAAAAGGCCATAATTATTACAACTTTCCAGCAAACTAGTTGAGGAACACCTCATATACACTTCAATGCATTATTTCAGGCATGAGCACCTGGACTGGACAGCTTGCCTTCTAACAGGTCTTAATATATGTAGCAATATATCATTAAAATAACATAAACACATAGTTTTGGTATGATATAAAAGGTAATAAATCATAAGATACAGATTTACATGTAACAATAGCTTTATGAATGCCCATCAAAAGTAATGAACAAAGATATTTGTATATTTACATTGAACAACTATTAACCCTACCTAAAAGAATTAATGAGCAAATCATAGATTTTTAAAATACACTTGCAAACATTTATAACATTCCATTAAAAAAATTCAGATGCTGCTAACCACAACTGGAACACAAGTCACCTTTGATTTATAAACGGTTCCCTTATAGCTTATATTTGCTATCATCTACAATGAAAAAAAATGGTTGCCATGGCAACAGGAGACCTTCAAGGTCACTGACCTTCACATTTGATGTGCTGAGATTCTAATGCTTCACGCCATTCTTCTCTCTCATAATCTGTTGAGAACAGGAATGTATGGGGTCTGAACCCCTCCACCTCAAGATGTAACGGTAACCGTGGCAACGCTTCAACCAATGTAGCCTCCTGCTCCTGTATTTTCTTCTTTAATTTTTCAATGTTGCGAACAGCTCTCTTTTGGGTTATTGAAAAGGCTTTCTGAAATTCAAGTTGGAGTCATAATATTACATGTTCACCGGAAATAAAATGAATATAGTGTGCTTATTGTATCAATGGTTATAAAAATTTCTGACAGGTTATATGGCCCAATAGGAATGTTTGTTAACTTATAGAACTAAAGCAACTGGTCAAGGGTTATATTGTGAACAACCATTTCTGCATTGCTAATGACCTGTCAGAACCATTTTAACAGTTTATTCTTCAGCATAATTCCTTTATTTGAAAAAAAGCAAACTACTACAAAAACTTTACAGCAGCAGAATTTAAGCAGCTGTTTTCTTTGTCTTGCTAATACTTAAAGCCACAAACACAAACAATCATGTCAACTTATAAGCCATACTGGTGGTGAAAGACTTCAGGTGCCCATCTGTGCAACATTTCAAAGCACATCTAAGTAGCATCACCAACCTTTCATATGAAACTAGTCAATTAACTTCCTCACTTGACAGAATCCGAAACCCTTGGTGGAATTTAAAACCACAATATCGTGGTCACAAGTAAATCAAACACAGCAATCATAATAACTTATATCAGTTCAGTTAAAACATCTTACATCTTTAGTGTTGTCTGCACGAAGCATCTCATCCCTCAACTCCACCTTCAGATTTCCAATCTTACACTTGAGATCTTCCAGAGTTTCCTTTGGCTGGTACTTCTGATCCCCTTTCATATGCATGATTAATGAAGGAATGGGTAGGTACCAGACATATTTGAAGGACACATCTTTGTATCTAAAAATAGATATCATTTCTATAAATAGAAACATTGCTCTCTCTCTCTCACACACACACATTAATCTTTCAGCAAATGTTACAAATGGCTTTAACTTGATAAAAATATCCTTGGAAGTAAATAAAAATACATCATACATGAGTTATGCATCCTTAGAGAGGTTCATCACCTATCTACTTAAACTTACCACAACAAAATGGTCTACCTGATAGGTAATGCCTATCAACCTTGTCTCTGTATACAGTCAACCTGTTTTAAAGATGGGGTTTAATTTAATAATCAGAAGGAAGATGGATATATAGATGGACGCAGTAAAGTCTTGTATCTTCCATTTTTCCTAAGGAGCATAATAAACTTACATATGTTGTATTTTTTTTCTTAAAAACACCACACTATTATCACTAACACTGATGGTTTCCTATAAAATACTAACAGTCATACTGTGATGAAAAGTTGAGAAAAAGTAGAAAAATTTATTTCTTAGCCTATATGACCTTGACTCAGTTGACCTGAAAATCGATCCAAATGAAATGATTCATAGAAGCTCCAGTAAGCTACAGGTTAAACAAACTTACTTTGAGCTGCCTTTATGTTTGGTACAAATGATAGCATCACTGAATAGGAACACATATCTCAACTGCCGTGTCGCCTTCTTATCACGTGACACCTCAACCAAAAATCCACTCTTCACCAAATGCCGGGTCTCCTGGTTCTATTATATAGATACATTTTTAGAATTAAAATTATTGTCCCAAATTTTTTCATGTCTTGTAATAAATTTTTAAATTATCGATTACAATTCAAGAGTTTGATTCAAGACTCTTTCGACCTGTATTAATTTATTGATTAAGTCAACCCAATTAATGTTTATTTTTAGAAAGAAAAACAACATTATGACATCATTCATGACATCAAATTTATATTATTTAATTGCATTCCAATAAATTACTAGTACCCTCAACCCATTGTGTACATTTGTTTCTTATTTTTGTATTATCTACTTTGTAAATTTTAAATAACAGTACCCAGCATGGTATAAATCTGTGTGACCAAATACCCTTGTACATCAATGCTAAAGTCAGGCATAAATGGTAAAACAAATTATTGTTGTCCTAAATAGGTATGGACAAATTCAACATTTAACAAAATATGCTGGACTATTTTCAGGCGTAGAATTTTACCTTATTACAGCTGAGATTGCTAGCATGTGTGTTGTACATGCGTAAATTCTCCTCGCTCAGTTTCAATGCCTTTTGAAGATCCCGATAATCTGGATGGTTCTCTGGTGTGTGTTTTATCAAATCCTATAAATAGAACAAAAATCATATATATACAACAATTATATAAATTTATAAACTAAATAAATGTACTGATAAAAACTTATATTCAAATTAATCCTGCTGGAATCTAAAAGTGATCAGCCTTTGCCATCAATATACAGCCAGGCCAGCCTGAACCTATGCATTCTGACCAAATTCTATACTTTTGGCTGTAAATTTCATCTTGATATCCCCTCATTTTATTAATAGACAGTTCCAAAAATGGAAGCTGGACAGGTCCATTTAAGAAATTCAGAAGGGTAAGGGTTAAATTTCATTATGCAGAACCAGTCTAACACTTAAGTTAGGGAGAACTAAATTAATAAGTGTATCCAAAACACAAAGTTTGAAAACCAGCCCTTATTTCTTGTATTTTACTGGCTAGTAAAAGGTTCAACTTTGCATCTCTGTACACACTTGACAGGTTCTGCAATAAACTGAATAAATTTGATTAACTTGGACTCAATGATTGGTAGTATGTTTTTTCGAAATGTTCAAATTACATGTTAGAAATTTTTTTACTCGCAAAATCACTCTTACCTACCTTTGAATCAAATAAGTATATAATTATGACAGCTTTTGAGCATTAAATGTTTTGAGAAAGATCTAAGGTGTCTTTTTAAACATCATTTCAGGCATATAAGTAAAACTGAAGACCTTCAGTATGCTAGCTGGATTGAATGCTCTCATGAAAGAAACCTGGTGAGGCATGAAAGAAACCCTTGTGGGATTCCAGGCTGAAATTGCCAGGGGCAAGCAATTCTAAGTCAGCAACTCGAGCCATTTAGCAACATAGGCCTTGTATATCTTTTTCGCGCAGATGGCAGGGTCCAAGCAATCTTAGTGAAATTTTTGTTTTAGGGTTGGGTTTTATGTTGCACCAACACAGTAAAGGTCATATGGCAACCTTCCAGCTTTACTGATGGAGGAAGACCTCAAGTGTCCTTACGTGCATAATTTCAGGCACAAAGGGCCACCTAAGTAGAACCACCAACATTCTGTAAGCTAGTTGGATAGCTTCCTCACATGAATCACAGTGAAATCATAATTATAATCCTCATTAACTTAAATCAAGTATCCATGTTAACAGATTCTTCATGTATTAGGTAACCTCATATCACACTTACATGTAAGACAAGGTGATTTGTTTGTATTCTTTGAACTGGTTTCAAGAGCACATCTGAAAAAAAGAAGCAAAAGAAAACATCTAAAATATATTATTTAGATTCTACAAATTATATGCATACATAAAGCTTAGGCCAGAACCACAGCATGTTGGCTTTATTAAGTCAGGACAAACTCAAATTTATAACTTTGCAAGTTTCCCATTGCTTTTGCTCTTTTATCTGAATGTTCACTCAATGATAATTTATGAGAAATCCAATTATAATAAAGATGAGTATTCTCCTTATAAGCCACTTGACCTAGTTTTTCATCACTGAATCAACTTCTAGTTTAAGCATGATTGTATTATACTATAAAATCACAAAGATTTGCAATCTTAATTTTTGTGTGTGTTTTATGGTGTGGGGTATTTGGAGTTTTCTTTGAAAATTTATTTTCTGTTTTCTTTTTTATTTTTGTTTATTTTTTTTTTATTCAAGTTGACCACTTCACTGATTTTGCAGAAAAATAAAAATCATTGATAACATTAAAGTTTGTAAAATGGACAATAACTCATAAAAATAATTTTGCTTTTTAAAATATAAATTTGGGGATAAATAACTTAATTTCCAAATTGGGAACATGTAAAAATACCCAATTTTTTGAAAAATTTACCCTTTTTTTTTTTTGATAAAAAATTTTAATTTGTAAAAAATTTTCTTACAAATAGGGGCTTTTTATAAAATTTTAAAAAAATTCCTTAGGGGTTTTATATAAAGAACTTTAAATCTTTAAAAGTTAATGCAAAAGGAAGTTATAAAGGCCCAAAAATTTTCCCCAAAAATTTGTTGATAAAAAAATTTATAAATTAAACCCTGTTTATGCTCGAATCAAAATATTTAAAAAAAAAAACCCTTTTACTTTTTTTTTTTTGGGGGTTTTTTATTTTTGGGTTTTTATGGTGCCAAACCCAAAAAAAAAATTTTTGGGTCAAGTGGACCCGGGAAAAAGGTAAGAAGATTTTTGGGTCACCAAAAAGGGGTTTTTTTACCAAGCTTAATCCTTTACTTTAAAATTACAAATTAATGTATCTAATTACTGCACTGTGGGCCCCTTTTTAAAAAAAAAATTTACATATTAAAAACATAAACCATACCTTCCAGTTTCAAAGCTTCTTCTTTGTAGGATTCCAAGTGCTCCTGCAAGTATAAACAAAAACATTTCATTTATTATCACAGCTTGACATCCAGCATTTTTCTCACATCACAAAGACAACATGCTCAAGCTTTCAATTTATATAACATGAAACAACTTTCATTAAAAATGTGTTATAAAAATCTGGCGTGTTAATAAGGTGCTTAGGTAATGTTGGGGTTTTTTTTACATTTTTTAATGATAATTTTATGATACTCGGGTAATGATATAGTTCAGGAGATTATTATACATGTAAGCATTAATTCAAATCTATTAATAGAACTTTACGATGGGGAAAAGCTGTAAAATTTATTATGAAAATTGTTAATAGTTTGCACACATTTTGAAATTAATTACATGACAGTGTTAGTTTGTTTATTACATGTATAGGGTTTGTATTTTTTTAATAAAAACAAGACAACTTTCATTTAACAGTAGTACATTTATAGTAATCCCTCCAGAACAATATAATAAATATTCTCTTTTAACATTTATCAACTTTTTTAATGATATTTGAACAAATTTATTTTCACTTCACGGTTAAATAACAACCCTTATCCTACTGGGATCAAAAGTAAGTAGCCTTTGCTGCTTAGTATATAGCCAGGCCAGCCTATGCTCTCTTGAAGTCTGCTCAGACTCTAAAGCTGACTAAACTTTAAATTTTCATCTTCATGACCATAAAAGTGTTTTAAGGGGGACTTTTCCCAAAAAAATGGAATTTTGGACATTAGTAAATTTAAAAGGTTTAAAAGGGTTAAGGGGCTTTCAATTTTTAAATTAAAATTTTTAAATGGTCATGTACTAGTTAACCTAAGGGGCACACTTCTTTATTTTCCCCCTGTACTTTTCCCTGTACCCTCCCTAAGTATTCTCTCTTTAAAGAGGGATAACAAACCCAGGAAAGGTTTCTAGATAAAAACAGGGTTTTGGTGGACCTAGTTATCCGGGGTCATTATTAAAAAGGGGTTTTATTCGGGGTATTCTTTTGTAAGTTTTTCTCTAAAGGTATTTTGGTTTTCTTATATATAAAAAAATTTTTAATATTTTTTGTTTAATTAAAATTCAAAAAATTTGGGGATTTAGAGAAAATTTGGGTTTTTCTTTTACCAAAATATTTTTATTTTAAAATTATGCTTTTTTTTAACTGAACCTTTTTTAAAACATGAAGTTAATAAAATATTATATATACTGGTAGTGGTATGTTTACAGAATTTAAGAGAGTTATTATCACATACAATATCATTCATATTCAACATAACAACCGTATATCTATAAAGTTATGCAGTCAACATGCTACAAAAATAAAGTGTCTGTGTGCTAACAATATAATTTATTTTACATTATAGTGGTGAAACATTAATCAACAAAAGATGCGAAATTATAAACATAACAACAAAAATTGAAAAGTGATGTAAAAGGAACTCATGCATGAAGTCCTTGACAATGTCAACAGCCTTTACATGCTGTTGTTCAGGAAAATAAAGAGAAATTGTGAAACTAAAATGTTGGAAAGTTTTAAAATTCTTTAAAACTTCATGATTAATTATGTCCTTATTTTAAAGAAGAAAACCGATTGTTTGAATTCCATGTTTTAAAACATGTACAATATCCTTGATGCATACTATTACATTGTTAAAGTTATGGAATGTGGAATGCAGTATCATGTCTTCTATAAATACCTTGACTGGTTCAGATAATTCTAATGTAAGCACAGATTTGTAAACCAGTCTGGACTTGAGCTAATGTTTTTCATTGGTAGATTTCAAATCTGCACTCTGCATTTAACCAATCAGATGTGAGGATTGGAATTGAGACTGGTTTTCAATCTCAAATTTTCAACATCATTATTAATTGACTTTCAAGCACGTCAAATTTTGCATGATTTTCCCCTCAATAACCTGAAACAATCTGTTGCTCTTTTTATCAACAGAATTTATTCAATTTTTTTTCTGGCTGCAACCTTAAGCACTGACCCAGCTCAAGCATTCTAAATACCTTTTCCTTGTAACAAATACTGGAAAAACTGATAATTGACAATTATTTGCTGTCATATAATGAGTTTTCTGTCTAAAAATGTGCCGCAGTTTAGGTCTGTTAGGAAAACCAGCAGATAAACTCATACACACAAATACCTTTGATAACCTAAATCTAAACAGTTATATCAAAGTTTGTCTTATTTCAATGCACAAAATCTTTTAAGAGTTATATCTTAGATGAAAGATGTTATCACAAAAAGAAATAAATGCGAAATTGTCAAGCACATTCAAAATAAGCATGCATTTTGACCACCCAGATCTGTATCAAACAGAAGCTTTCATGACCAGTATGTTACCATCAACAACAGAAAGACTTACATTAGAAGTTACGCTCGTCACACTACCCAAGCGTATACGTGACTTAAAACCAGCCTGAAAATTTACTCATTTACTGTATAATCTGGTATGAATGATAACAGTCAAAGGTATTTTATATAAAACTTAAAAACAGAAAGAAAAAAATCCTTAGCTAAAGAAACCAAAAATTGGCAAAATTGAAAATGTTCAGTTGATTGAACCTGAAAGGTACTGGAAAGTGCAAATACTGCCCATGCCCTCTAGCACTGGCTTGAGCAGAATTCAACATCTAAACATGAAAATGATAACATTTTGAATCTAGCAACATCCGCAGATGTGTTCATTAAACCCCGGCTACATTGAACCCTTTTTTAAAGTGAAAATGTTTGTTTCCATTTCCAAAGAAAAGGCAGGGGTTTTGGGCCCAAAGTAAAATTTTGCATATACGGGAACAAAACTGGGACATTTTAATTGTTTGGGAACAAAAAAAATATCCCGGCCCCTTTCTTTAAAAGAAAATCATATGAAAGGGGAAAATAAAAATATTTGGATTTAAATTTTAAATTGATAGTGTTTCATCAAGGAAGGGGTTTCATAAAAAATTTCCCAATTTTAAAGCAAGGGAAAAAAACCCAACAATATGTTAAATTTTACAGAAACCCAACCCGGGCCCGACAGATGGAGGGACAAACCAAACAAAAAACACAAATATTTTTTGCAAACATCTTTTTTTCCCCTTGATAGAGGTAAAAAAATGCAATAATTTTTGTCAAAATTTAAAACAGGGGGGCAAATTCAGCTTGTTTATTGGGGGTCTATAAACGCTTACTGGGTTAATTTCATTGTATAAAAATTGTCATTTTTTTTAAAAATTTAAAACAAGTATCAGGCCCGGGAAATTTTTACCTCAAGCAGGGTGGGCCCTTTTTTTCTTCATTTTCCGTTGGTATTTCCCTTAAAGGGCTCCACAGCAAGGGGGTAAAATTTTTCACATAATCTTCATAGGGGTTTTTTAAATAAAACCACCTGAAATAGTAAAATTTTTTTTTTCAGCTACAAGTCGGTTTCACAAAAGAAAATGTCAAAATCCCAATTTCTTTCAGGCTTTTAGGGCGCTCTTTAAATGCAGCTGCTTTTAAATATTTATAAAATCAAACCCTTTAAAAATTCCTGAGATAATGGAAGGGGGGCTGGGAGATAAGTTTGTATACCCTTTAAGGGCCCCAAAAAAATTTTGGGATTAACATTATTTATAATTTAACTTTAGATATAATGATAATAAATTGTATTTACATTGTATATATACAAAAGTACTTGAATTGTAAAATATAATATTGTTTAACTAAATCTCATTAACTATATGTAATAATATGGACATTTCTGTTAAGCCTGACTCTTTTGTATGTACATTATTATTTAACTTGAGATATAATGATAATAAATTGTATATATAAGGTACTTAAATTGCAAAATAAAATTTTATTTAACTAAATCACTGACATTTACTATATCTATGGGCATTAAATCTGATTATAGAAGAACAAAGGACAAGTCTGCATTATAATTAAAGGAACTCCACTGAGGTCAAAAAAGCCTTAGAGAACATGAAATTTAAAAATTTTACACAAATCAAATGAAGCGCTTAAAATGGAAAAATCTGCAAAGGAAAATAAAGAAAACGTGATCGGAATTAAATAGAAAATTGATTTTTTGTGTAATTCTTAGACCGAATTAGGTAAAAAGCGTTGCATTTCATTTTCATTCTTGGGTTATTTTACACAATAAAAATGACGATTACCGTATAAGTACTTATTTCTGCGGGATTAATATTCTGCGATTTTTGTTAAAATAAGGGGTTTTTAATTTCTGCGTATCATATTTCTGCGGTGTCATCATTCTCGCCTTGGTGCTTTTTAATTAAGATATTTCTTTTCAAAATTAACCTACACAAACAGACAACATTTTAAGATTTGTTGATATAACATTACTTCCGGATAACATGCAGACGACTGACTATGTGTTACGTCGTAATTATCATGTATCGGTATATACATGTTAATAAACGTGCAATGATAACAATTTTAATACTGTATGTGTATAAATATGAAGTGTGAATAATAAACAATGGCAAAATCAAACGTGGACACAAGATATTGTACAATTACAAAAGCGTATGTTTATTGCACCCGTCAAACTAAAATAGTTCGATTTTGCAAAACTAAAAATCAAGCTAAGAGTGAGCGAAAATCATACAAACATAATACTTATTTAAGCAAAGAGAACAAGCAAAGTATCATTTTTTTCTAATATTTTATGTCGATATGAACCGCAGAAATAAAGTATCCGCAGAAAATAGTACTTATACGGTAACTAAACATCCTGTAATGTTAAACTTAGTTGCTTGGGGCGTCCTGGGCCAAGTGGTTAAGGTCATTGACTTCAAACCACTGACCCCTCACCGCTGTGAGTTCGAATCCAGACAGGGACTTTGGATTCTTTCATGTAAGGAAACTATCCAGATAGCTTTAATACGGAACGTCTGTGGTTCTACTCAAGTGCCCTTCCTGCCTGAAAAAAAGCATGGATGGGCACCTGGGGTCTTCCTCCACCAGTAAAGCTGGAACGTCGCCATATGACCTATACAGTGTTAGTATGACCTAAACAATCATCCTTTTATTTCTTTTGATTTCAAAAAAATTGGATAACATTCAAAATTAAAGCCAACCACAATTTTAGCAAACGACCATTTCTCCAGCATGCAAAGAGATTAAAAGAAATTCTATTAAACTGGCTATATACCATTCAATCATTTTTCAGCAACAATGTAACAAAACACTTGCAATTTAAAATGAATAACCCACCCCGCTGTGTATTATCACATAAAAATTTACACTTTGTTTTCATCCAATTCAAAATACCTTCATAAATTTCTCATGTAAAAAACAGATTTGTATTAGACTGAATTACTTCCTATTAACTTTTAGAGCCTTAAAAAATGATCTTCTATAAAAAGAAACTGCATTCTTCATTTGTATTGACTATCCAAAGATGATTTTCCCCCAAATTACAAAATCTCTACTTCCTTATGAATAAAGCTATGTGTAAAAGCTTTAAGAGAAAACTTATCTAAAGTCATGTTTTGGTTTTTCTCAAACACAAGGGTTTTAATGTCTCAGTGTATCAGTCATCAGCAATTTTATAACAAGATCTATTAAAGGGACAGCATGCTCCACTATTCTCAGTGCTTGATTGTGTATGATTTTTCTAATTACCTAAAGCACGAAACAGCCAGTTTGTCACCAGTATTATAAAAGCTATACCATCCTGCATCAGGACAGTCTTACTAGACTTTAAGGGTTCTTTTTTTCTCTATTTCTATACTTGTGGCTACTCCATCATTTAAATCCCTAAACAACAAATGGACTGTTCAAAATTCAAAGCAGGGCAAGTCAATTTCACAGATTCAGAAGGGTCAGGCTCTTTTTACTGTCATAACTATTTTTTGACTAAAATTGTTGGTTTTTAAGTCGCACCAATACAGTATAGGTCATATGGCAACTAACCAGCTTTACTGGTGAAGAAAGACCTCAGGTGCCCTTCTGTGCATTATTTCAGGCACAAACGAACAGGCACCTGAGTAGAACCAGTGACATTCATAGCTTCTACACATGATATAACCAAAGTCCCTGTTGGGATTCGAACCCGCAGCAATGAGCTGCAAGATGTTTGAAGTCAAGCACCTAATCAGCCCAAGACAGCCTTCTTTACTGTCTTATAAAACATGACACATGAATAAAATATACTGAGAGAAAAACCAACCAGTTTTTTGACAGCTTCAGCTATTCTTTGTTCATCTGACCAATTCATCACTTTCTTCCCAAGCTCCTCAACAAACTCCTTATGTATTTGAAAGAAGTCGTCCATCTTGTAAAATATGGTGGTTATGTCCTCCAGGGGCATTAAAGTCGACGCCTGAGTACCATGACTCATGCAAGAACTTTGTAGATAATGCTTAGCCTGAAAAATAAGAAAAAATCGTCAACACTTTATTTATTTATTTACTTCAAAAATATCACTGAGAATGGATAATTTTCTTTTTTGCGACAGAAAATTGCATAGGGAAACACTCAAAATTACCCTTGAACAATTAAGTCAGATTGGACTTAGCACAACCATTATGCCAAATAGCAAATTACTTAACTCTTGAAGTACCAACAGAAATATAACATATATATTATTAAAACATGATAAATGTTTCAGTGCATTGCTGAAATAAAGAACAAGGAACATCGCAATGCCATGCAACCAGGTTTTCAGCAAAATATTTCACAGAAGCTTTGTCATGAAGGGGCATTTGTTTTTAATTGAACTTTTAGGAGGAATTATGGCTTTTTTAATATTCCTCAAACAAAAATGATTGAGAAATTTTATGTTGTCTATTCGCCTTTTTTTCCCAAATATTTTAGAAAGGTAAACAGTACTTTATTTTTGCTTAATTTTTGCGTCTCTTGTCATTTTCTTTTGTCAACAATATTGGCGTGTGGTGTTTTGTGCGATATCAAGAAAAGTATGTTCACAATTTTAAAAAAATACTTGAATGATGTCTTGGAAGAAACATGGGAATTTAGTGAGCGCCAGGGCACTTGATGACAAAGCTTCTGTGAAAGTTTGGTCAAAATCCATTGAGAAATGTAGGAGAAGTTGCGCACTGTAGAAATTGTTCACTATATATTCTGTATAAGGAAAAAATATACAAAGGGCCATAATTCGGTCAAATATTATCCAATCACAAAACCCCGACAATATGTGCCAGGCACCTGATAACAAAGCTTCTAAGAAAGTTTGGTCAAAATCCGTTGAGAAATGTAGGAGGAGTTGCGCACAGAAGAAATTGTTCTCTATATATTCTGTATAAGGAAAAAATATACAAAGGGCCATCATTCGGTCAAATATTATCCAATCACAAAACCCCGACAATATGTGCCAGGCACTTGATAACAAAGCTTCTAAGAAAGTTTGGTCAAAATCCGTTGAGAAATGTAGGAGGAGTTGCGCACAGAAGAAATTGTTCACTATATATTCTATATAAGGAAAAAAAACAAAGGGCCATAATTAGGTCAAATATATACCAATTGCAAAACCCTGGCAATATGTGACAGGGCACTTGATGACAAAGCTTCTGAGAAAGTTTGGTCAAAATCCGTTGAGAAATGTAGGAGGAGTTGCGCACAGAAGAAATTGTTCACTATATATTTTATATAAGGAAAAAAAACAAAGGGCCATAATTAGGTCAAATATTATCTAATCGCAAAACCCCGACAATATGCGCCAGGGCACTTGATGACAAAGCTTCTGTGAAAGTTTGGTCAAAATCCGTTGAGAAATGTAGGAGGAGTTGCGCACAGAAGAAATTGTTTACGACCGCCCGCCCGCCCGTCCGCCCACCCGCCCGCCAACATACCTCAATCTAATAACCAGTTTTTTCCTTCGGAAAACCTGGTTAAAAATAATATCTTGGAAATGACAACAAATCCCATAATTCTTTTAATTTCGGCAGCGCTTTCAATGCTCATAAATGCATAATAATTATCCTCAGCTGAGTATTTTAATCAACAATAAAATACAACATATATTATATTATTCATGTATGTACTTATGTCACCAGTGTTGAGTAGGATCAGCCAGCATATCTGTACGGAAGGGCCATCATATGGCAGTCTGTTAGTTGCATAAGTATAATCTGTTAAAATTTTCATATTGCTATCCCTTAATCAATTAATTGACAAGTCCAAGGGCACATTTCTTTATAAAAATTAGGCATGGTTGGGGTCAAATTTACCTTAAAAGTTGATAATTTTCAGCTATTATAACAGTTAAAACTCTTGAATTATGAATAGACCTTTTTACTTACTAATACTTGGAAATGGGCTTAAAGTACTTATCACACACCCTTGCCGATTTTGCGACTCTGTAAATATGGTATTGCACGACTGTGCATATATTTTGATGTGACGTCATTAGCGTTATACTAACATAGTGTATAAAGACGTGCTAAATGTTAGCGTTATACTATAGGCGCGTCAATGAAAAATGACTCTTATTTCACTGTAAGCGGTCTTTATTTTGGGTACGTGATAAATAGAATATTTAATTCGTGTAAGTTCATTACTGAATTTATTGCACTCATTGAATAAAATAATATTATGCTCGACAGAGGCTCGCATAATATAATTTTATTCAACTCGTGCAATAAATTCAGTATTGATTTTACACTCATTCAATATCCTCTATATATCGGTACACACATATGAAATTAGGAATTGCCCTGAAAATAAATGTTCGATCATCACTGAATTAATTTTCCATTATGTTCACTATAACTCATTTATTATTTTTATTATCAAAGCATAATTACCTTAACAAGTTGTTCAATGACATGTAGGTAGGACTTTTCACTCTCAAGAATGCCTTTAACAACAATATACCGCATGTGTAACTGTTCGCTCTTGTGTTTTAATGTCGCGTCGGCCTTCAACGTGTCTTCCAAATCAGGTCTGTCAACCTAAAAATAGAACAAAACTTTTTTTGTGAACAAGGTATCAAATCAGCAAAGAATAAATGACATACAGTCAAACCTTTTCGTAATCAGCTGGATTTTCAGTAAATCAATTTATTTTAAGGTAAATATTGTATTTTTTCATTTCAAATTAATAAAGTAAATGTACTGGGAAACAGATCTCGATCAGTTCCTTCTGTTTTGTACATTATGTGACCAACAATTATACAGGTACATGCATCTTTATATATGTTAAACATAGTAATTTTGATCGTTATTTTCTATTCTGTTTGTTTGTTTATACATGTCACCTAATCTTGTAATGAGCGCAAGTTTTTTTTTTATTATCATTGTGTTGCATTGCATTATAACACTGTAAAGATCATATGGCAACGTTCCAGCTTTACTGATGCAGGATGATCTCAGGTGCCATTGGTGCATTATTTCAGGCACCTGAGTAGAACCATTCTGTGAGCTTAGCTAGATAGCCTATATTCACAATTTCAAGAATCCAATGAACAGGATTCAAACCTACAGTGGTACGGGGCAAGTGGTTTCAAGTCAACAGCCTAAATAACCACTCAGCCACAAATGCCCTGCCATAGTTTAAGTGGCGTCATGGCCGAGCGGTTAACACATCAGACTAGTAATCTTTTATAATCCCTAGCCGCATGGGTTCAAACCCTGTCAGGGGTAAGTTGTTGTTTCCTTGAGCAAGAAACTTTACTCTCATTGCTCAGTACAGGTTGGTTCCAGAAACAGATTAGACAGTGTGTCTATAAGCTTATAGCTTCCTACACAATCAAACTTAACATCATTCTGTTTAAACCAAATGCCCCGCCATGACAAATTTTAAATTACATTAAATTTTGAAATCTTGTTATCTTAAGCTCAGATACAAATTTAGCAGAATAATAATGAGCTCCATTAAAGAGATAAACTTAACGCCCATAAAAAATAATTTATACAGTTTTACATTTTTACTTATTTGCACGTCATACCAACTATACCAAATTAAGGTTGAAAACTTAAACACTGTGAACAAAATTACTGAAATAAATCAGATCACCTTTAAACATACACAACTTATCTAATCATTATCGCTTTTTTTTTCTTTACTAAAGTTTTTTAAATTTACATTTGAAAAAAAGACTTCCTGCTTAATGCACATAATTATATATGTTAATTCACTTATTTTGGGTGTAGTTTAAAGCTACAAACCTCCAAATTAGAAAAATAATTTTTCGTAAGTGAATATTTTTGTATCTTAATTAAGAATTAAATGTACAATTATGTATCTATACATATTATTAATTCACCATTCATGAGACTATATGGCAGAATATACTAAATGCATTTTTATAACCAAATTCTACCTCATTACGAATTAATGGAGCATAAGAAAAATCCAGCCTGATATGCATGTACATGTAGGTAACATTGTATATAGTACATAGATTAAATCTTTTATTATGTACAGTCCTCAGAACATAACAAAAATTTACTCATTAAAACAATTTTTCAATTTTCATATAACTGAATATAAATCTGGCGGTGGACTGCTTTAAAAAAAAACTACATTTTATTTAACTTCAGTAAGCTTTCCCCCAAAATAGCTGAATTAACATTTTAGGTGTACGAAGTCTTTTTCTTTTCTCAAAAAGTAAACAAACAAAAAAGTGGTATTGTTTAGATAGGTTG